TGTGGGATCAGTGCGCGCACTCCTTATGAACGGAAGCCTCGCTTGTTCACAATGGCCTCTAAGAAGACGGACTTTCCCAAGTTTAGATCTAAACGAAACTAATGAAAAACTGAAAATTAAACTGCAGTGACTTCAGACTCCTCAGTAAAACTGTGCACCCTTTAAATGATTCTGAACCACCGGTTTTTTTTTTTTAATTCGAAAGTTAAGTGGTTCCGAAGTTTTAGATGGCCAAAGTGACGAACTTTCACAAATATGATAGATAGAGATACCACGAAAGTATCAATATCATGGCTAAAAACTACATATTAGTACTCTTTATCACACCGCTACCACTGGTTTCTTTTCTTTTTGTAGTAGTAGTAGTAGTAGTAGTAGTAGTAGTAGTAGTAGTAGTAGTAGTAGTATCTGTTGCTGCTGCTGCTGTTGCTGCTGCTGCTGTTGTCGTTGCTGCTGTTGTTGTCGTCGTTGTTGTCACTGGCAAAAAGCGACTGCGACGTCTGTCCGACCTCCTTCTATTGTTGTTGCTGTTGTTGCTGCTGCTGCTGCTGCTGTTGTTGTTGTCGTCTTTGTCGTTGTTGCTGTTGTTGTTGCTGTCATTGACCAAAGGCGGCAGCGACTTCTCTTGCTGTCGTTGCTGTTTGTGCAGCTGTTGCTGCTGTTGCTGCTGTTGCTGCAGTCGCTGCTTCTGCTGCTGTCGTCATCGTCGTTGTAGCTGTTTTTGTTGTTGTTGTCACAGACCGAAATCGCCAGCGGCGACTATCTCTACTTTTGAGCAACACCATCAGTATTCTCCAACACAAGAACATGCCTAATACGGGCGTACCCACTAGAGATGGTATCGGCCGATCGGACCCATCGGCCGACTCGGTCGCCTCAAATACAAACGTATTTGTTTTCAGTTTCAGGCGACCGAGTCTGGCGATCGACCCGATCAAGCCGTAGTGGGCACCCCGTATAATACAAGGTGCCCATTGGCACGATCGGGTCGCGTCGGGTCGGGTCGAGTCGGTTTGCTAGCCAGATTAAGTGCGCGCGGAGGGCGGTTATCGTGGCATAAGCCGATCGCCCGACTCGCCGCCTGTAAAAATACAAACGCGTTTCGGGGTGGTTTTTTT